AGAATAACCTGATGGGAATCAACATAATCCCTGCAAACGCCCTGGTTGACTCTCTTCGAACCCTTATTTCCTACTTCTGTCACAAGTACAGTCTTTTATAATCTCCTCATTGTATTTACAATCTTAAGTTTCAGAAGGATGTCCAATTTATCCAAGAGGTTTTGAAGAAAACCTACCAGAAGAAGCAAAGTTAATTGTAAAATTGATCCAGCAGAGGCATGCTTCCAGCCGTGCTTGTATTGTGGCTGCCCCATCCTGGCGTGCTTGCATAAAAAGAAGGGCAAGAGATGAAGCTTGTCAGCGGGATATCTTTTGTGATTTGCTTCTATTTGATCGTCAACTGGGAGGTTTACACCTTTTTACCCTTATTAAATCATGCTCTACCGTTAAGCTGGGCAGGTCCTATAGCTACAATGTTGCTAAAACCTTGAAGAAAGCCCTTGTTCTTGATGGAGGCTGCTATGAAAGGTTCTACATTGGCTACCATGTGGTACATTGCCACCGTTGCAACTCTGAATTTCAGCCTGAGTTCTGTTCAAACCTGGGAAACCGTTACCCTAGCGAGTACACGTGTCAGGAGAAAGAGGACAATGAAGAAAAGTTGAACGGGATTCTTGAATCATTGATAAGCATCTTAGCCGCAGTACCATCAATCCTGTCCACAAAGGAAAAAATCTGCTTCTACAATCTGCTGACTGAGGAACAGTTTGAATTATTGTACGATGAAATTAACCACTCTAGAGAATTGTGGATAAAGGGTGCACCTGGCACTGGAAAGACTCTTGTGGCTGTCGAATTCATGAAGGAACTCCGTAACCGTGACCCCAGCCTACGCAAGGAGGAAATATTGTATGTATGTGAGAACGTTGGACTCAGGCATCAAATAAGGTAATTAGAAAAAAACTAAACGCATATTTCTAGCTTACAAATGTACTGGTTCGTCATTAGTCCTAACCAGTCATTTTTTTTACATTGCTGGTTACGTTTTTAAGGTACCAATACACTGTATAACTACAGCGAGTTTTAGGGTTGGCCTTAACCCTAAGGGCAAAAGACAGGGGTATTTGTTTTCTGTGTATCTGTAGGGTTTTTGGAAACGATTTCTTGTAAGGCGGAATGGCTTCAAAGGAGTGACACATGTTGAAAGCCAAAGGTAAGATCGGAAAATTAAAGAAAAAAAAGTTTGAAAACTTCTGCTCTGTAATCTTAAAAGTATTTGGCATGAGAAACAGATTTAAATTTTAGTGGTAGGTACGTTAGATTGTGTTCCGTGCATTTAGTCAAAGTTCACGTCAATGCTGGCAGGAGCAGTCCCTGATGCAATGTGACCCCTTCATAAACAATTTGAAAAATCGATGATGGCAATGGTAATTGGAGTGGTATTGATAACATGATGTCAACTTTTAAAACCACATATGACGATTAGATATATGATCTCTTAGGTTAAGGTTATAGAATAACTAGTAAACCGTTAACGTGACATTCACCGTCACGTATGAATCTATTTGCAAAGCTCAACACATAATACTCTGTGACTCAGTTCGTAAAGAACCGGAGCGCCAAATTGGAATCCCTG